CACTCCGATCTGCTCTCTACATAAAGCCACGCTTGGATAGGCCAAAGCTTGTCGCGTGTAGAATGAATTATTTATATTTTTCGAAATAAGTGAAGGTCTACTAAACAGAAGTTGGCTAGAAGGAGCTCATACGCACGTGTAAGCCCCTAGCACCCAGAAGAACGATCATGCTTCCAAATATATCAGGCATCAAGCCCAAAAAATATAGACAGCTACTCTAACGGTAAGACTAGATTTAGATGTCTTCGACAATAATCTTAAACCTCGGAGGTAATTTAGACCTATTATGAAAACTCGAATGGTAAATTATCCGATCAAACCCTAAGGTCCAAAAACGAGGTGGTTTGGTCAGAAGCCACCTTTACTATTGCTTTTTACTTTTCTCAGAAATTAACTGCGAACTCGGAGTAGATCTATAAGCGCAGATCGGGATTTGATGAATGTTTGGGCCGAAGTCCATTAGCCACAGTGGGATAAGCGCGTAATATTCATTAACTGCCGACAGGTAGCTCGTAAAAAGCCAATTTTATGGGCACTTCACGCCAGTTCTTTATGACTTCAGTAGCCTAGGTGTTACCACTGACTGGATTACCCTTTGTCAAGTCTTGTCAAAGGGGTTGGCCTTAGTTTTAGGTTAAGTAAGTTGGATAAACACGTCTAGCAAAATTTGCTTTGAAGCAGGCAAATTCGGAGCTTACTATTTCACTGAAAAACATTTTCCTATCTTTCTGAAGAGAGTTTAAATAAGATTTCGGCTGCTTTGCGTGTTTACTAAAAACATGAAATTTAGGTATCGTCCATTTCGTTTGTTCTGGTAGAAGGCCGACCGTTTTATTAAGTCGTCTCTCTGTCATACACAGTGAACCTTGAGGAAAGACACTTTATTGTCCAGTTCCTTCTGTCATGTAAAGTTCATTTCTGGATGCAGGTTTTTCACAGTAATACATAAATCATTGGTCTTCCCATTCCCATTTGGAACCGCAAATTCTTATTCGGCGCAGCATCTGTACAGCGTTGTTTGGTTCAATGGCGCCAGGTGAGGACTGGGCTGAGTGTACTTTCACTCGCTTCTCCGCCAATTTTTCCGTAAATGCGAGGGGTGAAAAAAGTCATGGGCACTTTTATTACCGATATGAGGCAAACAGAGTCATTTTTGCACATTTGTCTAAAATACAACTAAAGCATACTGCAGCGAAATGGTGGAGGCTGGACTTGACTGCTTCAAAAAAAAACAGGTTAAACATGATTGTCTGAGCCCGTCCCACGAAGAGCGTTTTATCGTTTTCAAAAGGACTCGACTAAATGTTCATTTTCAAAAAACCGTTAAAATATCGTTGTATTTGCAGGGCGGGAGTACTACAAACATGACTGAGCCACCGTTACGGTAAACCCCTGAGAGGATTTACAGTATGCCTTAGCTCATATTTTTCAGGCCTAGGAATAAATTTCCTAGTAAAATGACGGGGGATGCCCTGACTATGCACTGTCTCGTGAAAGGATAGACGAAACGTTAAAATACTTCTGATTCGAAAAGATTACTTAAGCAGAGTTGCAATACTCATTTTAATGTGACATAATCCCAAGGTATTTCATCCGCGCCACGCCGCCGGCTTCTAAACAAGCTTCTCTCTGGCCACGTGTAAAGAAAGACTGATAAAGCAGTTTGAATTTCTTCCACTGGTGCGTGATGTTTATATAAATTCCCCTATATTTTAGACAAACCATGCACATAAGTATTCTTTCTTGCACTCATTTGTTAGCAACTTACCCTTCTTCAAATTCTGTGCTCGAGGAATGGGGGTCTGTCGGTTTTTGTTAACTCTTCCGATCTCGAATAATTTTGAATCTGGTTTTCAATAGATCTTTTGTTTAGTGTTCTAAAAAGGCATGATGTGTACTTTCCGTGTGGGGAAACTCGTACATTTCTCTAAACTGTTACGAAGGTGTCATACAGGGGGCATATAAATTGTTGCAGCGTATGCGGATCACGATGCATATTTCAAGGGCAGAATTAACAAATGGGAAGATCCGCTGCTGTATTAATGGACATTTTATATCCTTAAAACATTACATAGTTACAGACATTTATAACCAAAAGACAATGTTTTCTAAGGAAATAATTTGAAGAAGACATAATGTACACCAGATGACCGTAAGTGAGAATATTTTTGTGCATGGTTTCTATAATTATGTTTGAACATATATCGCCATCGAAAGTCAGTAGTGGAAGTACATAGTAGTAAGTAGTCATATTTAAATAACGTGGATTTTTAAATTGGTCGGAAAGAAGCTTCTTCATGGGTTGGCATCCTACCGTGATTAAAGTATGTTGAGATTACGTTGCGCGCTTATCAGCATTACAACCTCACCCAGTCAAATCAAAAACACAGATCAGAATTTCAGTAAACATTTTATGAGATAGACCATTTACCGCGGATTGCGTCTATGAATTCACATATGAGGTAAGTGAAAATGTATTCGGCGAAAGCAAACAGAGCGGCAATCAGATTCGTTGAGTGCTTTCTTGCGCAGCTTTGAAAACCAGGAAACAAGTCTCTCGCTCCTCTATCTCAAACGGCGCCTACATCACGGACACTCCGTTGACTACAAAGGAACCTCTGAGTTCTTTCTTTAAAGAAACACTTTAGACATTTCATTCATTTGAGGTGGCTCGCATGCGAGAAAAAATCTAGACCTGTGCAAACAATGAAATCGTTTGGTAAATCGAGCGTTATCCTTGTAACACTTCATCATTTTTGTTTTTTACTCCTTTGCACATTATCTTCTTCCTTTTGTCCCTTTTTGACGCCATTTATAGTTGATTTTTTTTTAATGATTTGTCCATTTTTTCTAAAAGATCAGTCTTGCTGTGTTCTTATCCTTAACGAAGTCTCGTGACTGTCTACTCATTATTAATGCAGAGAAACGATAGAAAGCTGTTGAATGCCAGACAGGAAAATTGACAGTGCCAAGAAATCTTATTGTGTAGGTATCCTTTAAACTTTGTTCAACCTCCTCGGACTGTCAAAAAACGGTAACTTGGAGTAACTACCCTGGTTGGGGAAATAGTTCTGTCAGAGATGGAACTATTCGTGAAGTCTACAGTAATGTTACAAAGAGAGCCTTCCCACTTCCCGAAATCAGAGCTTTAGTTTGCAGAAATAAAACGAACTATCTGGTTGGATTGCTGTAATCACAGGTCCCTTCACCATATGGTGATCTTCCCTAGCCGTGAAGCAACATTAGGATTTAAAATGTGAATCAAGTCGGCTGTGCGTAGTTTGTCTCCGAGCTTAGAATAAGGAAGCCGAAATTGGTTATTTATGTGTTTGTGTCCTGTCATAATGCTGAATTGTGATAATTCTAGGCAGCAGCTCATTAGATGTGGGCACCGTAACGTTACGAATAATTTCTCCAGTTATTATGTTCTGATCGCTCTCACAACGAAAATTTTTGGTGCTAAGTCTTATCCTCCGTAAAAAGTTTCACCATTAAATAGCGTGCACCCTTGTTCCTTGGCCCTTTTTCAGCAATTGCGGTTCCACCGATCCAAGTAAATGAAGAAATCCAAGCTCACTGTCTAATAGTTTTCTTCAAATCGAAACAAAGACACAAGTCTAGATCGGAGGCAGGAAGGCGTACAGCAAATGGGCTAACTCATGAGATCTCAACCGAAATTCCGAAACGAGTTTCCGTTTGAAAAATTTACTTAAGTAGGGTTGTAAAACCAATCACCATGCAGCATAATTCTATAATAATTCAGTTACCCCAGGACGGCGGCTTTTGAATAAATTTCTTTTTGGTTGCATCCAAAATCTATACTCCGTAAAAAATGACTACTTATGTAGCATGCATTTTTTCATTGACTTTTGATGCCCTTAAAGACTCTATTATATCTCATGGACAACATGCACAAAATATTCATTTTTTACTCATTCAGTGGAAAATAACATCTTCTTTCAATTTTAGGCTCGAGGGAAGAGTGGAATTTGGTTTTATCAAACTTTTCTAATTCCCGAACAATTTTGAACCCAAACAGCCGTTACATTTGCAATCAGGGTTCCCAAACTGCAAGCCGTAAAATTTCCGCGTACGGAAAACCATACACTTCTCTCCAGCAATAAAGGGCAACATTAAGAGTTCATAAAATTAGAGGTGAATTTGTGTCCAATTGTTAAATTTATAAGCCACATTGGGGAATGCAGAGATATGACGTTCTATGAAAGCCATTTTCGTGGTATTGAAAAATCTCACAATAAGAAACTCTTCTAAAATCGAATTATACCGTTCCTTTTAGTGGAAAATTGAAAGAAGACGTTATTTCGTACTAAACGAGCAAATGAAAAAATATTTTCTTGCCTGCTGTCCACGAAGTATAATGAAGTCCTTAGCGGCTTCGAAAATCAAAGAAAAAATGCATGCTACATATGTAGTCATCCTTTACGGAGTATAGATTTTGGATGCAGCCAAAACGAAGTTTGCTCGAAAACCGGCATCCTGGGGTAACTGAATTATTATAGAATTATGATGCATGAGGATTGGTTTTACAACCCTTCTTAAATAATCTTTTCCGTTATTGCACCAATAACCATACCAGGAATTAAACTAAAACAAGAATTAACTGCATACGGACGATCATGTCGTCATTGTGTCATGAAGTACGACTTTATGCAATGACGGAAGGAGCTGCTGATTGAGGATGATGTGGAGACATAATGGCCACATATTGCAATAGCCGCAACCCTTGTGCTTCCATTAACTTTATCTACTGTTGCACATAATGAGGGATTTAGGTGTGAATTCGAAACGTGTGGCGATCGGGTACCCCTATATTTATCTGCTTCCTGAAACTCGCCTTTGGCTTTTGTCAACAACCAGTTTTGACGAGTAAACTAAACTAATCGATGTATTTTTATGAACAAAAGGCAGAACTGTTGGCCGAGACCTGGGAGCAGTTTACATATGGTAAACTCGCGAATAACAGGACACGTCTAATCGGGATGGACAAGCAAAGAGATTCTATGGGCCAGCGTTGGTGAGTAGTTATTTGTTATACTGTCTACTAGTCCACCGTTAGTAGTGCCCTCGCATGTTTTTGACCTCGAGCGATATCGTACCTTATTCCTTGAGTAAATACTACTCAATGACAGATTAGCGCGTCCCAGGCTGAATTTTAGGGAAGCTGACAAGATTACTGAATCAAATATACCATTTGGCTGATATTTCCGAGAGTTTACTCTGCAGTCCAATTTTGTAAACTGAGAGAGATGAGAATTTTCGATTACAATTATCCTTTTTTTCTGGTACCGCGACTACCACTGCATGGAGAAGCAGCGGATACCAGTGCCTAGCTTCAAAGGGAAGACAGGGTCAGGACGGTTGGAGGCGCGCTTAAGTGCATTGTCTGATGTTGCAAGAAGTCATCACCTATGCATGTCACATGCATTCTGACCCATAAACTCACATAAACGCGACTCAAATAACCAAGATTGCTATTAGGCTGGAGAACTGAGTCAATCAACCAATCCGAAACCTTTAAAAATAAAACTTTTAGTCAACAATGACAAATCAAGAGGACGCTAGATAGTCGAGAAAGACCATGGAGAATCAGCCTAACTCCCTCTTTGGCCTCTCATTGCATACCAGCGAAAAGATCCACTCAAGCTGATTAGAGACAGGACAGGCCACAGCCGCCGTCCATCTGGCGTCCGCATGTCCATTTGTTAGAGTCTGCTGAAACGCTGCCGTCAATCTTAAGCGTTCAGTCTACACGTATGAGATAGTGATGATAAGCATGGAGGGAGACAAACCGGACGAGTGTACATAAACATGAACGTCTGTGACAACCTACATTCTGAAGTGGGTATAGGGGGATCCTCAAAAGTCACTGGACATTTCTATCGTCATAAGCCACAACGCCCCATGCGTGTGCCGCAGGGTAGGCGCAGCGATGACCTGCGAGTGAATTTATTTAAAATGATGCAGATATGTATAGAACCCACCGCACTAAACCAATGCGGCCAGAGTTGGGCGTGGGCGCGATGAGAGACAATGCTAAACAATCCGTTTACGCGGACCACGGACCAACTGCTAGAAACTTCGTGCGCCTGGGCACTGTAAGGGCGGATCGGGCGTCTCATGCTTGAATATGCCATCAGGGCCACGTTAAGGAGGGACTACTGCAGCCTGACTATCATCTCGAAGTGGACAGAGCTAGCCCTTCTGTTGGCACCATGCGAAGCCTACGCCAACGGCGTATTACAATAGGGTCGATTTCTTTAGATTTATTTGAATGACAAATGCAGAAGTGGGTTTTGAAAAGAGATTCTCCAGTGTTGGCCTTATTGAAACGTCACCCAAAACTTTACAAACAGCACAAATTTGGGTAATTATGTCAGTTTTACACTGTTCGGTTGGCATCGGCATGGGCCCAAATGCTTAAATGTGTTAGGTGGAACCGCCCTGACTGGCTCATTCGTGCGCCCTCCTGTAGATCCTCCCTTACGGCGTGCGCGTGTTGATATCGTGCTAGCCACGGGCAGGATTAGAGGGACGCCCGTCACTCAGATGAGTCAGAAGTCCAGTCGGAATGCTAACAGCACAAATGCATGATATGATTGGCCCAAGTCCAGGCCGGCCTTGGACACCTCTGTATTTTCCTTGATCACCAGAATTTTGGTATTAGGACCCAGACCTGTTCTTCCACTCATGTTGTTTAATTCTTATTCCGGTATCCGATCGTAGAGACTTGTAGAAGGGGCTACCAGTTATGGCGAAAACATAACGAAGTGTGCGCTCGTCCACAAGACGGCACTTACTTACGATGCATGCCTCTTCGAGGCCGAAAATGCATCTGAAGAATACTTTGGTTATTACAGAGTTGAGGAACGTGTAGCAGTTAGAATAGTAGGCGTTACCTGAGCGCCGAAATCAAAATCTGAATTCGTAATCAGCAGGATAAGACACAAGACAGGAGGTGTTTATTGTGCGCAGAAACCTCGGTTGCTCCCTCTGGTGACATTGTCCACTGGGAGGCCACTGGGTGTCTGCTGACGCCGTTAACTCCTGCCGAGATACATTGTATATATTGCAGGCTATTTTGAATGTTCGTATGAACTAGGCCAAGAATGCTTGTGGTCAAGCGGTTCCCGTAGCACTAAGCAGAGTGCAGGTGTGTTCAAGTGTGGCATAGGCGGCTGGAGTTGTCAAAACGCACGCTTGTACAAGGTGGTCAGTTGAGTACTTACAGGATGAAGTAGAAGTTCAAGAGGAGCCTATATGGTGAACATGAGCTAACTCGAGTAGTTTAAGCTTCGAAACGGAAACGTGCACTTCACTGTCGACAGTTAGCTATAGATAAACCAACCAATCTAGCGGCTACTTTTATCTGGAACGCCGACACCTAAGGAGAAGAAGGTGCGATCGCTGAAGGAAGAATTTTATTTGTCTGACCTGCAAATTCGTACCCTAACCCAAGATCAAAGCCAGCGTCAGATAGGGATACGGGGTGCGCAGGCGTTGCACTATTTATAAAATGCCCTGGCTGTGCGAGCACATACCAATCATAAAAAGTGGCTCTGACATTCCCCACGGATGGTACTCTGCCTGCGGCAATTGCTTAATTGCCCGCAGCCGTCGTTAGTTGCGCAGTCATTAACATGATAGTGTAATTGCGGAAATTACCGACTTGGCCGCTACGAGGGAACAATAGTCCCCCCCCCTACTGCACCATCCACGATGAATGCGGAGGCCGCGATTGATAGGCATGTAGTAGCATCATATATCTGCATCCCATAAAAAGTGCGATCCACCTGCACCCCTTCCACCTATCCAGTGCTGTCTTTGATGATTGGTTCGAGTGTGACTCTTGAAATCAAGCTTATGAAGTCTTTTTTTCAGCGATCGCTCCTTCTTCTTCTTCTTCTTCTTCTTCTTCTTCTTTTATGATGCCTCCCGGAACACACATTTAGGCCCGTGTTGACGTCGATTTCCGTATTGTTTTGATACAACCACAGTAGGTGGGCTAACTCATGAAATGTCAACCGGAATTTCGAAATGCGTTCTCGTTTCGACAAGATGAATTAAGTAGGGTTGTAAAACTAATCAGCATGCAGCATGATTCCATAATGATCCAGTTACCTCAGAGTATCGGCTTTCCAATGAACTTATTTTGGACTACATGCGAGAACTACACTCTGTAAAAAATGACTACCTAAGTAACGTGCAATTTTCTCAATGTTTCTCGATTCCCTTGAAAATTCGATTATATTTCATGGAAACAATGCATAAATATATTCCTTATTTTGCTAATTCGTTAGAAAATTGCGTCTTTTTTAACTTTATACTCGAAGGAAGGGTAGTAAGCGGGCTCAAAATAGTTTCTCATTGTGAGATTTTTTAAAACCGTGAAATGGCCGTCCATGAAACGTCATGTATCTGCATTTACAAATGTGGCTTCTAAAGTTAACAGTATTTTTCAAATCCAGTGCTTAATTTTATGAACCCCACATGGTCACCTCCTAATACCGTAGAAAAAGGCATGGTTTTCCGTGCGCGGAAAATGTACAGTTTGTAGTTTTGAAACCCTGAATGCAAGTGTAACAGCAGGTCGGTTTCAAAATTATTCGGGAATTGGAGAAGTTTTTGAAAATCGAATAATACTCTGTCCACGAGTGCAAAATAGGAAGAAGACGTGAATTTCCACCGAATAAGTAAACGAAAGAATATTTCTATGAATTTTTCCCAAGAAATATAATTGAATTTTCAAGGGCATCGAAAATCAATGAGACAATTGCATGCTACGTAAGTAGTCATTTTTTACGCAGTAAAGCTTTTACATGCAGTCCAAAATAAGCGCATTCGAAAGCCGACACCCTGAGGTAACTAGTTCATTATAGAATCATGCTGCATGATGATTATTTCAACAACCCTACATAATTAATCTTTTCGAAACGAGAACGCACTTCAAAATTTTGGTTGACATTTCAGGAGTTAGTCCACCTAATTTATGCCAGTAGAGGCATTGTCGTCGGCATAGTAAATGGACGAGGTTCAAAAACCCATGGGCCGCCTGAAGACCGGAGTACAACGGGTTGCGTGATTGTTCTCGTTTATAAACATTAAAATCAGAAATATGGCATAGGGTGTCTGGTTCACTAAGTTTTTACTTTAGATAAACGCTTACCCGAGTATTTTGGACCAATGGAGAACTCTGACTCCCTCGTCAACAATCGTAATCCAAAATTTTAATATATTTCACGTATGACAGTTCGACCGTCATTTTAGACGATGCCCACTTTAGACTTTACAGCTAACAAAGAAGGGATGGTGACTTGGGAGTGAATTAGTGCAAAGTGAATGTAGACTTGCGCAGCACCTACCGCACTCTCTCTTCCCCATTCCCCACCTGGACCGGGTGTCAAGACAGAGTCAAGAAGACCGGTGACGGGGGAGGGCGCAGGTCAAGCCCGTACCTTGACGTTCCACCACACAGCCTGGTCCACACAGTAAATGACCAGGTTTTGACCAGCAAAAACAACAACACTCCAACAGAATTCAGAAGGACGAGGATGATGTATATCGTCTGATGACAAACATATTCTGCTTCTGTGAACTGTAGCGTAACACTGCCCTCCAATTGGCTACCGTAAAGCAGTGCCTAAAAATTTCAGCAAATGCACACAGGGAATTCGCCATCTACGCCTTCCTGGATAGACACTTTGCATCCTTCGGCAGTGCCCTTAATACTCCTGACTGACGTAGGACTCCGTGCATAGTTTGCCGTCTTATATTCTGCCATCAGAGAAAGTACGTGGACGGCCCGGCATCTCTGCACTTAAGTTCAGACGGTCTAGTGTGGATTCTGCTGCACAACATAAACTGGGCAGAATTTATTACACCGGCCTTGGTTTATTTTTTTAGTTTTCCAACTCAAATTGTCATCTCGGCTCAGTTCCAAGTTTGTTTGTACGCAAGCACTAGGCAGGCGACAATTATCCGACCAATCGGAACCACTTTAGCCGTCTGCACGAACCGATGCTGGCTTTACCGTATAATCCCTTAGGGATACGGTACGATTTAGCACGATATTTGGACCAACCTTAGCAGGAGGGTGAGAAGATACATGATTCAGCGCTGCCATCGACGACTGCTAAGCAAACAGGAATCGCATTCTGCTGTCACCAAAGGTGACAGTGAAGAAGAAACCCAGAAATGGAGCGCACGTTTATCACTGAAACTTACTGGGCAAGTGAAAAGCGTGACGTCGAAATGACCTCGAAGTAAAAGATGCGAGAAAAGAATATTTCGGGAATGCATCTGACTTTCTGTCATCGAGGACTTTGACAAGCCAGTTGCAAATAGCCCGATATACGTACATAATTCTTGCTGACCTCTTAGTTCAATCGGGCCAGGACAGACAGAAGCTTTTGGTGAGACCCTATCACTAGTCGCCACCAGGCGACCTGAACGATTTTGAGCAGCAGGTAAGATGACATGCGAAGACTCGAAATCTTGGATGATACAATCGCAAAATCGCCCTAAACAGCAGAGAAAACTGCATTATAAGGCTGTTGGCTACGCCTATCTTTTCGCCTTTAGTTTTCAAAAATGCAGGATAAAACAAACGGCCTGAGACGGCCTGCCTGTTGCTAATTTTCGCACACTCTTCGTAGTCATTTCGGTGAAATTTCTAAAAAATGTTAACACTTTTTAAAAACTGATTTCGAGCCCTAGCGGTTCTCTGAAAACAAATATATGCAAACCGGTCTTCTCTGGCGAAGTGACGCCAATTTTAAACTGTGCAGACGCTTTTAAGTGCCTTTATGTGGGTTTGCAGCGGGTTTAAGTGAATGCCATGGTTCTATTTCTGACTTTCATAGGTTCATTATCAAGACTCGCTGTTTTGGTGATCATGTGATTTGGTGTTTAATGCTATGTTTCACTCCTCAACACTTCCACTTTATCTACCGGCTTCCTTTCTTCCCTCTCGCCTCACTGAATTTTGTCTTCGTTCTCATGTGGATCCTCAGTTTTTCATATTTTCTTCTCGGTATTCTTCCTATGAAACTCTATACAGTAGCCGAAAACAATCGCAAGACAAATATATGTACTTTCCAAGAGCTTGAATTTTCACCTATTCTTCTTCTTCTTTTGTTTTTACCTTCTGTTTGTAAGGACTTGTATTATTCCGAACGTTTGTTTTGTTGTACCATCACTACCACTCTTTAAAATTTTATTTCTAGGTCTTGGAAGTACTACTGGATAGGTGACGGGCAGAAACGGACTTGCCAAAACTGGAGTTCAAGCTACATGTTAAACGTGGCGAACGTGTGGGCCTTTAACTATCGGAGGGCTCGAGTTGTTCGTGATGTCGCCTCTTGCTCCTCCAGCCTCCATTTGATGTGCTACAGTGTTTGTGATGAACATGAGAGCTTAATTTAACTCAAACAAATCTGTTGTTTTGGCAATTCATCTGACGTACTAATTTTCCATCCCATTTCCAATTTTCAAGATGTGCCATTTATGTGCAGCAAAATGTCATTCAGTAGCACAAGGAGAAGCTGCTGGACCCTTCTGCGAACATTGAATTTCTTCATCTTATCACTTTAAGTATTCTCACTATTTTGCTTCTGTTGTGCCATTCTAGTGGGTGGGGTTATTCTAATCTGAGCTCTGAATAGTTTTCTGACTGATGTCCGGCTTCGGAAATGAAACTTACCAAACCAGGTGTAGAAGACTGCCCATAAATTTTAAAGTTGAAAATTGGGTGACAGGCTGTTAAGCCAAGCGACTCTAGCAGGGGTAAAGGCACGGTTTTATTACCATGACAACCTGATAGGTTTGCCTGAGTGAAACGGAAATAAACAAGATCAGAGTTGCAAAGTGCATTTTTCAACAAAGGGTTGTAGCGATGAATACAATCAGTGAATGAGCGGTATCGAAATTCCACCTATTAGCCGTGGGATATAAAGTGCAATTTAAAACAACTGTAAGCAGCAGGAGTTACGGTTTTGAAAAATTTGCGACAGTGCTTTCATTTTATTCATGACACGGATAGTGGGTAAGCAGTAGATGGCAGGTTGAATGTTCAGAAAAAAGTTTTATGAAAAAAAGCAGGGCGATAGTTAAGAAAACAGTCTGGTCGATAGAGGGTGTTACCCAGACACTATACTGTTTATGCCTATCTAAACTCTCCACAGGGAATATAATGCCCCAAAAAATAAGACATATGTTGTTGCTACAGTTCTTATCAGTTCAAGAAGTTAAATTCATCAGGGCCAAGTGTTGAGGTCCATACTTATTTTGCAACTTTGTTTTGTATCGGCCAATTTCTTGCGTTTAGAATCTGACTGCCACGAGCCTCTGCGGAGTTCCTTCCGCCTTTCGACAGAAAGATATTGAGAAGGGTAGCACAATATTACGGAAGGGAAAATTATGTATTTTACGCAGATATATCTTGAGTGCAATTATCATAAAGTAAGGGCATAAAAGTACACTAAATCAGATAGCTTGCAGCTTGCGATTCCCAGAAACAGGGTATCTATGGGACCTCATTCTGCACGAGCGAGTGTCGATTACGCTTGTTAAATGCCGGTTTTCCCCGATGTTTATGGCGGCCAAGTAGCAGAAGAAGTAATACAAAGTATAGGTCAATTACCCATGCTTTCTTTGCTAATAGGCCTTTCTAAATGTCAGGGTGATTTTCCTACCAACACCTGATGCGTCGAACGTTGTACACTAAGTACAAATAATCGGATGTATTTCACTTTTGGGATGGATTCTACAGTGTGGCTAACATAAGGAAGGTGCACTTGGTAAATTTACTGTAAAAATTTGCAGCTACATCAGTCGTTGCACTATATGTGAAGAATAAACGACCCACGTACGAGGATTTAGCCCCTCCCAGCATCGTGCAAATACATGGACGAGTTTTAAGGGTACTTCGTGTGCAAATGTAATATTTGCACTCGCTTGCGACTATATTTTTGTTTTAGTGTTTTACTGACGTCCAAACTTGGTGATAAAATTGTCTAATAAATAAACGCTGATCCGTCACTGATGACCATTTTTTGCTACCTATTTTTAAAAAGGCGCTGTTCGGTCACATGTTTTTCTATAATTTTGTACTGATGACTTTTTTACGTATGCCATGTTTCGTGTTTATTGTCCCTAAGATACGTAATGTCTTGTAACACATTCTAGCGGATATGCAGTTAGCGTACTTAAAAGGATCTTACGTCTGACCGGAAAAAAAACCATGCGATGCGAAACACCCGAAGTCGTTTACTGGGTTTGCTGTAATTCTGGACAGTACAATTTACTCGAAAAAACGAGGGGATTTATACGGGCACAAGTAGCCGAACATGCAGCGGTGCAAGAAGCAGCCATAGCGGTGAAAAATAACGGTGGCTCCAAGGTTACGGCTCATTCGACGGAATCCGGCAACACCTTCGGGTTTAGCGAAGTCAAAATTCTCGCAGAAGCTAAAAACTGAGTGTGTTTTGAGCTGCATGACTCATGGTTCGCAGACTCGCAGAAGACAAACAAGCTCAGTGGCTACCGGTCTGTTTCTTTTGTGTGAAAAATTTACCAGAGCAGAGTTATTAGCTGGGTGGCGGGGGGGGGGACGCTTGTGACCAACAGTTTGAGTGACGGCGAGCCGAATGGTCAACAACGATGATAAGTTCATAGCAATTAACGACTTGATATGGGTGTGTCTTCCCCCGATGAATAAGAGAGCTGCTAATTATTAGTGTGGATGTGGTTACATGGCAAATACATTCCGCAAAATTGAACCTCTCCTTCCTCTATCACCAGCGTTTGTGACTATACCTGAGGATTGATTCGACTGAGAATCTGAAACGTCAGGCGAAAGAACTTCTTGTTTCAGCGACCGAATTTTCTTTTTCTAAAGACTGAATATGCACCGAAAGACAAGACATTAATTGTTCATGTTTGTTGTGACAGCAGACCCGTCGATCCATCTGAGGACAGTTGTACTGTTTAAGGTTTGGGGACCATCATGGTGGACAATACTGTACGCAGGAATCAGCCTCTGCTGAAGGTTACAAGGGTTAAGGATAGAGGATGTGTTGGGACCGCCTTGGATATCTTACGTCTTTTACGTAGTAACTGAATGACGAGAGTGCTCCTAATAGTTCCAGAAATATTCCGACTGCGCACTCTGTCAAAGGCGGGGCACATAGTGTCAAAACAGCTTCGGACATACTTTTCGGGCAAAATAGGATATTTTCTGTTATTTTTCAGCAGGTTTTTTTTTCAAATCGCAGCGGTAACTCTGTTTTGATTAGCTCCGACTTTCCCATCTAGGCGGCTTGAAATGTTAGATGTAACAAACAGTATTACTCATGTATCCTCTCGGATTAGTTTTTATTAAACTCCGTAGTCACTGGAGGGATAATGATGGCACTAGTCTCCAACGGTCAAAAATTATTGCGATTCAGGTTTTTCGCCCACCACTTTCAGTACCAGTTACAGAAGTCATTTCGAGAGTTGGTGTATTTCCAATAATGACATATTTCTTGTGCAAGACGTAGAAGCGCAGGCAGTTTCCTGAATTTGGAATTCCTGACAACAAAGAAAATCCGAAATTTCCTTGTTAAGCTGCTTTACGCAAGTGTGCTCAAGTCTAACTTCGTGTTCGCTTCTTTTTTCGAGCAGTAGGTCTAAACAATCGTTGCCATGTCCTCCTTGAAATGAATGGTATCGATGGCAACCAGAACCTTTCTGCCTTGCTTTCTGAGAATTGTTGTATTATTCAAAAGGAAACGAACACTTATGGTCACTAGACTAGACAAAAATGACCGGGTACCAATTAAATTTTATTGTTTCGACCACAGCCTTGGCGTCCAGCGGACTTGGTTGTCTTCCTAAGAAAGATAGCTGATAAAAATTCATTGAATATTTCTAGCCTATTGATATTCTACGATTGAAAAGTCAGTCGGCATCATCATCATCATCATCATCATCATCATCATCATCATCATCATCATCATCATCATCATCATCATCATCATCATCATCATCATCATCATCATCATCATCATCATCATCATCATCATCATCATCATCATCATCATCATCATCATCATCATCATCAGACCAATACATTTGCGCGTCAATGGTCTTTTTAATCGTGACTAGGATATATATGCGTCTAAGGGAAAGGGTTAGCCAGACTCCATTTTCCAACGCCGACCGCATGACGGAGTTAGTGTGTTGAGGGATGTGGAGTTGAGATGACAGGAGGAAGGAGAAGAGTTCCGGTAAAATAATAAGCGCTATAAGTGCGTGTGACAGCTCGCAGAACTTATTGGCTATGGCCTCGGCAAAGATGTCTGCGCGAAATCCCAAATAACAGAATGGTTCTGACTATACAGTACCTCCTAATTTAAGTGAGAACGTGCACAAGCCATCCTATGTTACGGAGGCGATGACATGTTGCCTTATGCAGTATGAAAAAAAAAGTTGCGGTTGAAATGGACTATGACAAGGAAATAATGAACATCCTAATTCTCGCATACCTTCTCCAAACTCGCGTGGTACTTAATATGCTGCACTTAACTAAAGTGATCCGAAGTGGTATAACGACCGATAGCCTATGTAGCATGAAATAATGTTTACGAAAATAGATGAAAAACACTACAAGCAGTAGCGCAGGCCAAAGCAACAAGTATTTAGTAAGGGCGTATTAAGCTTAATAAAATTTTCGTTCATCCTCGGACGCTTTACGCTGCAGTTATATCGGTGTAAATATGCAAAATTTTTAAGAGGTCTTTCAATAGAAAGGAAAATCAACAATCCTTATAGACTTCAATTTGCGGTCGGCAGAAGGCATTTCTTAAAGGCAGCGGAAGTCAACACAATGAACCAGAATTATCTTTTTTTCAGGCCGCAAATGCAGCTTAAGCACATGAGCCAAACTCTTGTGATATCCACAGATATGAGAACGCTTGTCCAATGTTCGCTTTCGCAGTGACGTAAACAAAAATACATAGCGTAAATTATAGTTTTCCTTATGACAATAACGAGCATCCCGTATTTTGACCGATCAGTGCAAACTATCATAAAAAGCAGACATCACAAATGTCTATAAAGGCATATCGGTATTGTGCATTTATACAATACGATAACGAAGCTTTCGGGGATGCAGCAAATAGATACATATGTCAACAAGCCGCTGAGCGATGCATCCGTGGAAAAAGAGTAAGAACATCGAAATTTAGAAAAAGAGGCTTACCCAATGCGGACTAGCGCAACCAAAGGATATTTAAATTATATTCTCAGACAAGAAGGCAACGATCAGGCAAACATTTTCACCAAGTAGAATAACATGCACATAACAAAAAGAGCATTAAAATCCGCGGATATGCATCAAGACAAAAATGAAACCGTTGTTTCAGGTTTCGGCGCCTCACGTAAGGATTTTACATGCATGATCAATAGCTGATATGGGTTCAAACCTTTTACATGAATGTACTGTGCATCCAGGAATATGTAGTGAAGTTGGCTTAGGTTAAATGACGTGCAAGTCTCTAAGGACGGTCAATAGTGAGTGAACATTCTTAAGGACGTCTGAAGTAGGGACTCTAGCGAAAGAGATGGAAACTAGCAAATTTTCGCTAGCCCAAAAGTCTGGGGGTATTTCAAGTTCGCGTGCAAATGCGGATGAGCGTGTGTGATTTTCGCCTGTTCGCAACTATGTAGCTCGCACTGCTGCCGTATGATAAATAGCCTAAAGAGGCTTGAACTATATAAGATTAAAAAACTTCCAAACAATTGATCATGGTATTTTTGCACTATCTGGATATGCCTGAAAAATTAGCTGCTAGAAAATTTAGAATTTGCGTTATCGCCCACACACAGTCAACGACGGCAAGTTGCGTATTCAGCTGTCATGGCATGCTTTCAAAGAAAAACTTGATTGTGTCCGTTGTTTGACCCATACAAAGAAAGTCACGGAAGTGGCTCTTGACTAGTCAAGAAAGTGGCCATAACTGACCTCATTAATTCTGCGCGCACGTAAAGACGCAATTAGTCAAGTTTTCCTCTCTAAATTATACACTTCTTGCCCATCCGGCCGCAGAAATTAGTTCAAGCAGTACGTAATCTAGGTTGAGAAATCTGGTTAAGGTGAATACATAGTAAAATCATCCTTCAGCAAATGTATGTTCTTTTACTAAGCTGGAACGCGCGCGGACGAGTTAAATTACGCGCCAGCGTTTTAACCAAAATGCTGACCTCCGAGTCAAAGCCGGCAGCAGTATTCGTAAGCTTTTTTTGCAAAACTTTACATCTCTGATCTTTTTGGTTTTACCTGGTTGCGACGGTTAGGACTTTATATACCACATGAGCTTTTCTATCGATATGGACATAAATATATAAGTCTCTATGCATTCGTAAAAATTTATATAAAGTTAGAGAGGTTATGAGTCCACTGTTTGAGTCAATGTTCATGCGGGCCTCATGTTAATGCCCATATCCACGCGCAAATTTTGCGGAGCTCCACAAGGCCTTACCCAAGGAGGAGGGAGTTTTTCCGTCAAGTTGTTGCCTTCAGAATCCTTGAAAAATTTTCTTAATAGAAAATGTAAAGTTCAGTTTTCTTTGGCTCTGGTTATTGGAAACTGTAGCTGTGTTTGTCATCGTTGCCCGCACGATTTTCTACAGGAAGGACTCCTAGTTAAAGACTTATTTTATTAACTATATTTAATCGCCACAATTGTGGAGCGCAAATGTGAACGATACTTTCTAACACCATGGGCATTGTTTGTTCCCGCCATTGTGGCAAATAGTCCTGTAGTCGGACGATCAAAAGATGCTAATGGTCTACCTGTTTCCATCTTAAGACTGAAAATATGGCCGTCCACCACCCACTGGGCATCCACCTCCACATGTTTGCCAATTAGGCATTGGAATTCGAGAGATCTTTTCGGATTTCTCATTTATATATTCTCCATCCTAAGAATTTTTATTATAATGATGTTTTTATCCTTAGATTCCTAATAATATAACGTCTTATCTAATTGCTTTTCATCATAGGATCGCTCTGGGTTCGACATTCTCCTTAAGGATATCAAATCAGCCTCCCAGTTCACACGCATAGTCATTGAAGTTTTTCGAGAAAGGTACTGCTTACCTACGTTTTCTACTCAACAATTTGTTTATGTCGCACTTATTTTCCTTCACCAGTTCATAGCTAAGTGTCCGATCAGAAACCAAATCTCTCACTTTTATGCAGCAGCGGGTAATTTCGTCAAATTTTATCGGGTATGCTTTTGCTTAGTTAGATAGCCAATCAGTGAGATACGTCTGCCAACTACCAGGTCAACGCTTACCTTTAAAATGTATTGTACAACCTCTGTTTATGGACTAGAGAAACAGCCTTTGCTTATGCTCGGAAATGTGGAACCCGAAACACCATTGACGTTAGGCACACATAGTTGCCCTAGGCACCCGCATGTACCTTGATGTGATCGGCTGTGTCGAATTAATTAGGCTGTTGTGCTCTTTTTAAATAGCACATTGCTTGAAACTGTACAGATGTCGCTGATTATCTTTCCCGCAATACTGCTGTATAAATTGTCCATGTCATGAAAATGGCCATGACTGTTAGTTCATCAAGTCCTTGTCAGCCCAGGGACATACACCTCTACTTTTAAGTCGTTTTAGCTAAGCAACCTTGACCTCTTGTTGGATCTCGTTCGTAACACAGCATAGTCCGTTTTAACATAACTTTAAATCATAGCCTTACTTATGGGTGCATGTATTTCGAAAGAATATCCATTTTCTTCGTTTACGACCTCCCAGATTTGCGGAAATGTCATTCGGTGTCGATTTGTTTCAGAGTTGTGAGCGCCACTGTTGGTCCAACTTTCGAGTAGGGAGTCATTGACTGTGCACAATGGTTGTTCTGAGATTCTGCTTAATGTGGCATTTTTAATGAAATTTTGGAGGCGTTACCGTCAAGTCTGGCAAGTGGTTTAACAATTCAAATCTCATATTGTACTTTTCATGTCTCGCCTTTGAATACTTATACTGTCCGTCTCATTGCAATGTAAATTTACTATGGTAGGGGACATGATTGCATTCTAGAAACTCCGAGATGCCGAAATTCAGGAGGCTGAGGCGCGTTTTAAGCGGAAACTAATACCTGAGTTATGCTAAGACACTGCTCAATGACACGCAGGCTCATTTGAGAACCTTTCCGACCGCTTTCTGGAAAAGGAGAAGTCAGCACTTCATATGTATTTTTCAAGCATAAGATTTTAAAGTTTACCTAAATTCAGTCGCGTTTAGTGGAAACCATTCTCTAAATTTGACCTTACTCAACTGATTTTGCAGGGAATTACGGCTTTCCAGTTTAACGCTTAAATGTTTTTCTTAATGCGCTATCATGAACCCCCTTAGACGCCCTTTTTGATATTCATTTAGTCCAGTATCAACACGTTTGCTACTCATGCTTAAGAAATATCGAACGTGATTTACACGTCTCTCTTGAGGGCGTACGAATAAATGCAAAAGTGCTTTCAAAGAAAGTTCATACCGCGTATTTTTTTAGATTTTGAAACAGGTGAAAACCTGCGCTGAGCATAGAATAAACTCAGTTTCTTACTACTCGAGCATTTTGTTTTTTAGGCCGAAATTTGCAAGAAGACGTAAATTAGAGCAGATTTATAAAAAATCACAATTGCATGCACTCGTTCTAGAAAATGCAAATGAACTTGTTCGGATGTTGTAGGGATATACGGACGATGCTGTCTTCGTATAGACGAGTTGGGGTACTTTTCTATCTTGCAGAAATTCTCGTGATGGAATCCTCCGTTCTCACCACTTTTACGATCACATTCGGGCAATATCTTCGAGTCGACTGAGAATGCTTCATTTATTTAGAGTCAAAATTCCGGTGAAAATATTGTGTAGTTGTCATGATCGAAATACAATGACAAAAACTGAGTAAGAACAGTTAATAGGTTAAAAAATATGACTGCAGGGGTGTCAAGTAGGACAGATATCGAGCCAGGGATGATATGACTGATTGTTGATCAGTCGACGTTTTACAGGAAGTGGCGCGAAAGCCACGCCTATTTAAATATTTCTGCCTGTTTCTTGAGTCACTGTTCACTGTCTATCATTTGCGCAGGAAACGTTGCGTTTTGAAGCGTCCACCAATCTTCTACCTTTTTGACCTTTGGACGGCTCCG